TGGGAGCTATGTCCCCCCACCGCGCCACGGGAGTGGAATGGTACAGGCCGAGCCCCGCCCACAGCCTGTGAGGGAGTGGTACGGCCCCGCCCCCCCGCCTGGGAGTAGTAGCGGGCCGCCCCGCCGGCTCGGCCAATGGGATACACGCGGGTGCCGGGGAAGCCGGAAGTCAGAGCGGGCGTGCGCAAAGCGCCGCCACGTGGAAGGGGCGCTGCTGTGGCTGGCCTGATGATGCAGTTGGGCGGCTGGGTGCAGCGCGGAACTACCTACCCCTACTCAGGAGCTGCAAGCAGAGCCCTACCACCCAGGCTTTATCCCAGATTGTGCAGCACGGAACCACCCGCCCTAGTTCAGCAGCAAAGAGCACAGGGGCTCCAAGCAGAGGCCCACGCAGGTTTTATCGTAGGGATGCCTAACTTGCCCAGCCGAGTGACGCACAGCACACTGGGCCCACGGAACCCTTTCCCCCCACCGTCGGCTGCAGCCAACACCCACACCCTGGCTTGTTCCCACCAAGGCACCCAAGTACCACGAATGCCAGCCTCTTCCCGTGGTGTTGCTGGGGCTCCAAAGCCACAGGTCTCACCAGGCCAGAGGGTCCCAAAGTTGCATGGCTCTGCAGGCTGGAGGTTTGCCACCCCTTACAAAGGAATATTGCAAAGGCAACTGAAAGCTGGTTAAGCCTGCCCCTGCACACCACAGGCCCTTCGTGCCACTCCAGCCCACCAAGTAGAGCTGTAGCCCCCCTTGAGGGGGGGCCACTAAGGGCACACTGCTGATTGCTTAGGACAAATAAATGACAAAACAGAGACAGAAATAAAGGTCAGAGGTTCAGAACAAGTGCACTGAGAGGGGTCACTAAGTGGAGCCTGCTGGACAGTGCCCACTGGCCCTCCAACAGGTGGACACTGCCCAAAGATGTAAACAGACTAAATACTGAGGCAAGGTAGACCTATGGTCTGACCTGGTAAATTACAATTCTTATGCCTTTATTATTAAATCCTTACCTGATGTAAAACAGCATTGCTCCAAAGTCAACAGAGCTACACAGATCTGTTGGAAAACTAACCATGTATCATCATGCACGTAGGAAAAAATGGCTCTGTAGAAGGTTTTGTGCAAAACCGCCAATTCTGTCATAGATTCAGTTATTTTAGCTTGGACCCATCCCATTTCAGCTCTCTTTAAAACCCGTACAGAAGGAGTATTAATTGAACTCTCCATGACTATAAGGAAATTCATACTGGCAATATCAAGCTTCATGTGAGGCAACACAAGTTATGGCTATCCATCTTCTCTCCTAGCTTCATTTCAGCCTTCTATCATAAATGTCTGCTGTACATAATAGCCATTCTCAAGCAGATGAGTAGTCAGAGAACATGCAACAAACCGTATCTTACTCTAGGTCCCTATTTAATACAACAGGTCATAGCAGCAATAAGCTAATCCCCTATTTACCTGAGGCTTTCCAACTAAGATAGCAAAACAAACACTTGTGGAAATGTAAATACATCTCATGATTAGTCCTGCTAAGTTTAGGTGAGAGGCCATATTTCAAAAATTGCATGCCAGCCAGAATGAATGATTTTAGTTGCATGTAAATTCTTTTCTACAAAAACAAGCAGTTAGGACATTTAATACAAGTAAATATAATATAATCCTTAGACCAAAATGGCAAATCCTTACAGAACATAGTAAACCCACAATAGTAAATAATACCTAGCTTCAGGGCCAAATATAG